GCACTTACTTACAGTCACTACCACGCTTGACTCAATTGTCCATCTTTATCTCTGTCTGTCTGAAATGTGACTATTTTAAAAAATACTAGTCCACTAAAACCTAGCCAAGACAGTTTATTATTTTAAAGGCCAGTTTTATATTCTTAAAATAACATGAGTGCATGTGTGACACGTCATTGCAACTTGAATGATGTTAGCCAGGCACTGCTGAAAGGTCAATATAAAAGAAATAATAAATAAAGATAAATTTATAATGTTATGAAATTTAAGCTGTTTAAACTAAACATTTTAAATATAAATTATGCTTTTTTCATTCTAGAATGACTACAAATTAAAACATGAAAATATTGTTACGGTGTGCTGCAAGGCAGAAGTAGATGTGAGCTTAATAATTCAATTTTGTGACTGGTCAGTTATGATGAAAATGTGGATTGTGAGGTTTCAGTTTTACTTTGAAAAAAGCCAGGTTATATTTGAAGCCATTCTTTCTTCTTTTGTAAGTGATGTAAAAGCTGCTGTGTCTGTACAAGATTTTTCTCCATTTCTAATACATCCAACAGTTCCAAATTCACTTATTACAACTGTAATATTCCACCACCTCAATGAACAGCTTTGGTTTGAAACGTTCAAATGAATTTACAAATCATTTATTTTTGTTCACCTCCACATCAAGTCATTTCTTCCATTCATCTGGTGACAAGTCACACCACCATTTTTTCATATACTAGTCTAAATGTGCTCTATTCAATCTAATGTAGCAGCAAAGTTCGTAGTGATGTGTCAGAATATAATTAAATACTATATTGTCACTGCAATGCAAACTAATAAAAATCAAGAACTATACAGAATGAATTATCATCATGGGTCTCAAGCAAGAATAAAAACAAATTATAGTTTCATAGGTTCCTTTGGAAAGCTGTCCAAGTACAAAAAGGGACTTTCGACATACTACTACAAGTCTTTGATTATTACTAGTAATTGTGGTTGCTAATATTTACTATTTGATGCATTTTTTGAAGCTACTAAACTACAACTTTAGGTAAAAGCAACACGTGAGTAAGTGTTAGAATTCAAAGACCAAAGTGAAAAAAAAATGTCCCTGTACAATTTAGTTGGCAAGTTAATGTATGGACACTTATATCTTGTCATTCTCAATGCTTAGAATTGAGAACATCTTTTTTTTTTATCAATGTGCAAAACTTATTTAACCAGTTGGAGCTAAAAGTAGATCAGCTAAAATAAATTATTTTTAGTCAGTTACCCATGTTAATACCAAAAAAAAAAAGCAGAAGTTCTTTCAAGGTTGCATAAAATCATTAACCTGGTTCACAGTAATTTTGTGTAGGATATAGCAGGTGAAATGAACACCTAGGGCAATCATATAACTATTTTCAAGAATTAGAAAATTTTATAACTGCTTTTATACTAGGACTACAGATTTGTTCAAGATAGATTTACCATCCCATGTTTAAAAAGAGAATAATTCTGAGATGTGTACAGGGCAATGTACAAATTATTTAAAATGCACATCATCTGTTTATAAAACAAATTGGCATATACTGCAAAAGCTGATCACAGTAATTGTTAACAACAAAGTTTCAGTGAATTTGTAAAATTTACAATATATTATTAATTTTTATAGCATTCAACAAAAGTTTTCAGTAGGACCAATACATGGACAAAATGTGATGTAATAAAGTTCTGTGCGCTTTGTGAATTCTCTTATTATGCATTTTGGTCCATAAACAACTTTTTAAACAATAACTTCATATTAAAAAGGACTTTAAAATCCAACAATGTATGCAACTTGTTGGACATCTATATTAGTTCAGTTAGGAATATGAAGTTAAAAAACATTAAAGTCTTCTTACAATATTTAATCCATTTTTATAACTTAAAAGACTTGATACTTTGACAAGTTAAGCATTGTACAGCACATTACTTAATTTTCTAATATACTGTTCAAACACAAGAAGTACATAACTTTAGCTATTAAATTCTACTGAGAATTTGTGTTCTGGTTTACATCCCTATGCTTGTTTACTCAATTCATTTATTTCAGAATCAAATGTGAAGAAATTCACTTGGTCAATAACCATGAACATACAAATTTGCACTAATATCAGACTATGTACAGACAATTTTGTTTTGATAGAATCATGATTAACTATCAGAATTAAAACGTATAAAAGAGAACATGAATGGTTTAACTATAATAATTTAATCTTTCAATAGAAAAAGACAGAACATACATAAATTGGGCAGTTGGTCAGAACAGATGGAAAATGGGTACATAAGTTTTCCGAAGTGCTGTAATTGAACTGGTAAATTTCTCTTAGACACTAACTTTTAAAAGATAAAGAAACTCTCTCTCTGTAAGGTATACTTCTTCAAAGCAGTGTGAATTATATTCATATTCCTCACTGAATCACAAACAAAAAAAAAAATAAAAGATATAGGAAAGGAAACCTGTTAAGCTATCTGCTAATTACATATTTTTAAATACAATAAATTATACTGAGCTATTTGCATGGCAGTTGTTGAATATATTATGTTTATTACCTATTACATTTTTCATAAGCAAAATACCAAATCACCATTAAAAACCATAAAATTAAATTAGTTAGACAAAGATGGACCTAAATCCACTTTTAAGGTTAACTGTTAACCATTTCAATGGTTTTATGTTTTTACCATTACAAGTAACACTGATGAACACTTCTACTACTACTTAGAAGTTTCATAGTTACCAAGCCAAAAAATACCTAAAAGTTTCTTACAGACTTTCTGTTGATTATAAGAAAATAGCATGGAAATTAACACAAAAATAACTGAAGAGAGGAGGTTGTAATCAGTCCATGACAAAAATGTCACACAGATGGCTTAACAGGAATTGAAATATTACATTCCCGCATTCCCAAGGAATTTAACTTTGCTCCAGGAATTTCATCTTTTTAGTTGGCTTTCCCAATCAGGAATGTATGTTCCATCAGTATTCCTTTAGTTATGACCAATGAAAGTGAACATATTTCATGGATTGAATAAAAATTAATTCCTGAGGAAATGCAACTTTACATGAGGGAATGTAATCTTCCTGATAGCTTTCCCTTGAGTAAATGTAATTTTATTTCATTATTTCTATCCCTGCTTAAGCAATAAAATAAAACATTTTAAATGAAAAGTTTGCAATTTGGGTGGAAAACATAATGATTAAAAACAATGTGGCAGAAGAAGTAGCTGGAAGATAGGAAATTACCTAGTGAGCCAAGAAACACTTCTGACCAGTAAGAGAATATCTGCCTAAACTACATCATATTCTCTGTACTGTTACTGTAGGAAAAGAAAATGTACATGAAAAACATTATCTGCCACAAATTAGTATGAACTGTGTTAACTTTTTCTTTCTTAGCTTCCAGAACTAATACAACAGCATTATCACAAACAGTTAAACAATACATTTACTACATATTCCTGTAAAATCCTGACAAAATACAGAAGTTTTAACACTGTATAGAAAACTACCTAAATAATAATAATAACAAAATGACCAAACTAGATCATTTCAAGATTCTAATTTTTGAACAGTTCATGAAAATATTAAAACAAACAAAATCGAACCACTTCGTAATAGGCTATATGTTAATTATATATAAACCTACCCACAAGCCTACTTTCAAGAAAACCCATTACATAACATTCTAAAAGAAAAAAAACTTCGAACACTTTGTTTACAAACATAAGGATAAAATATGTTTATTTTTAGGTGAGCAGTGTCAATTAAATATGTCAATTTGCTCCTTGGCAGAAGTCAGATTCTCCATAATAAAACTTAACCATATCAACGCAAGAAAAAAATTGAAAAACTCTCAGATCAGGTACCTGCAAGTGATTTACAACAAATACTTATCATATGTCTTATTTTAAGATTCAGTGGATACACATGTAATCTTGCTTCAAAATACAAAGCAGTACAAATAAAACAACACAGTGAAATCATAGTTCATATAACATATAGATATAATTAACCACGGTCAATTTAATTTGTCAGTGTGATACTGAAAATATATAATCAATTAACCATTGCAAAAACAAAAGTATTTAATTCAGTCAGTTAATCAGCATAAACTCAAATGTTTTCAACCTTTACATTAGTTGATCAATGCCAGTGCAAAAGCATTAACCCAAGTCAGTTTATCAGTGCAAAGTTATCAACATTAATCACATTCAGTTAACTAAAGTCAAACTAAAAGTACTAATTTTTACAGTCAGTGTCAAGTCAAAATTAAGCCTAGTTAATTCAGGTCAAACCAAAAGTATTAATATTTATAGTCAACTGATCAATGCCATAACAAATGTACTAGTTAAAGTATGTTACTCAGTGCTAAATTAAAAGTACTTACCTCAGTCAGTTGGTCACTGTCAACTTAAACGTTTGGTGAGCTGATCAAAACCAACATGAAAGTTTTACTGTATAGTGGTGTTTTTCTTTTTCACCTGAGCTGGATAAGCAACATTGCTATATATATAAATTAGCCTGGGAATCAGTATCAGGCTTATATTTATTTTCCAAGTACTTTGTTGTTACTTGAATTAAGATTCCAAGTCCACTTTATGACACTATCTTTTCAGTAGTATGGTTGCCTTGAATTCTTAAAACTTCTTAAGATTTATGGGGTGGGGAAAAAAAACAACAAGTATTCCTGTTTCATATACACTAATGTTACTGCAAGCACAGAAAATATTTGTACATATGTTGAACAGTTGCAATGAGGTAGTACATAAACATAATCCATCATCATCAGTGAAATTAGTGAAGTTTTACCATACAAACTGAATCTGCATGATGGTGCATTTGTAACATTCTTATATTAAAGTGATGTTCTGCATAAAAGAAAACAGCAGAGTGATGCCTTAACACTGCATTTACTTGTTATGGATATGATTATTTATTTATATCAACCACATTATGCTTATATATATGGAGTCCTAAGCTCTGAATATTATTAAAAAGATTAAAAACCATATATAACATATGGTTCCGTGTAAAAAAACTGCAGAAACGAGTTTACTCAAAAACTAGTACTTCAATGAACTAATAACAAATTGCCCTGCAGCTATATAATTCTAAGAATAAAAGTCAGATTTATGTGGTATTATCTGCTTGCATTAGCAAAATTTAACATCCAATTTCTTGCTGCTTTTACCTTTAACTTTAAAAATTAGAAAAGTCAGCTTTGTTTGGTTTTGATAAAGTTTTAATTATTCACATAGTAATAAGACTGCAGAGAGCAATGAATTGATAAAGTTCAGAGGGAGGGGGATATATATGTATATACACATACATACATACATGTATATACATATAAACTCCTACACAAGACTTCATGAAGTAGAAAACAAGATGATTTATTAAATCTTGACTTTCAACTTTATCTCAGACAAAATATTAGTTTAAGTCAAAAACATTCTTTTTTTTATACAGATATAAAAAAAATGTCAATACTGATAAATCAAGCATTGTAAACCAATTGCCATATTAAAAAAATCGTTTACATTTCTTTGTTTGCGAAATGTATATTTTAGCAACCAAAATATTAATTTGAAAATTAACAGAAAAATTTTCTCTACAGCTAATTTCTGTACTGGATGTTTTAACAAACATGAAAAAGAAGAAGTATAATCTATAACATATGGTGCTGTGTAACAAAATGCCAGAAACAAGTTTACTCAAAAACTAGTACATAATTCTAGAAATGAAAATCAGATATATGTGGTATTATCTGCTCACATTAGCAAAATTAAACATCCAATATTTTGATCCTTTAATCTTTAAAATTAGAAAAGTCAGCTTTGTTTGGTTTTGATTAAGTTTTAATTATTCGCATAGTAATAAGATTGCAGAGAGCAATGAATTGATAAACTTGAGAGGGAGGGGGATATATATGTATATACACATACATACATGTATATACATATAAACTCCTACAAAGGACTTCTTGAAGCAGAAAACAAGATGATTTATTAAACCTTGACTTTCAACTTTACCTCAGACAAAATACTAGTTTAAGTCAAAAACATTCTTTTTTTATATATATACAGATATAAAAAAAAAATGTCAATATTGATAAATCAAGCATTGTAAACCAATTGCCATATTAAAAAAATCATTGACATTTCTTTGTTTGTGAAATGTATATTTTAGCAAGCAAAATATTAATTTGAAAATTAACAGAAAATTTTTCTCTATAGCTAATTTCTGTACTGGATGTTTTAACAAACATGAAAAAGAAGAAGTATGATGTAGGCATAGCTTATTGGAGAAACTTGAGTGATTATGGATGGTGAATTTTGACCAGAAAGATGTTTGGCCACACTAAGTTCAGGTAAAAATGTCCCTCAAAAACCTTATAACAAAAAAGTTTCTCCAACAAGTATCAAAAATAACTTTTTTACAACATCGTTACAGTAAAAAAATTGTATAATATATGATCTCAACAACAGTGGTCCAATCAATGTTTGTACTACAACTCAAACAATAGTTACCCTTTCTCAAAACAGGATGTAACATTATCTCATTCCTTACATTGTGCAGGGTAACACTCATTTATAGACTTGATATATCAAATCCCAATGTCTCTGCAATTTTTGTTTCACTAAGAACCCTGTGGATCACTAGGGGTCAATTATTACAATAATCTATACACATCTGTTGACAGTGAAATGTAAATAAACAGCACTCAATCTTTCCACTTCCTAGAACTGGAATGGAAAATAAAGACAGTACTTTCCCCTAGAGACAAACAGGGATTCTAAAATCATGACTTAGACAAACCAAACAAAGCACTTAACCAAATCAATATTTTTTTACAAGCAACAGTCTATAGTTGTCACCTTTCCATTACTCAGTGTAAAAGAATTCTTGTTTTTGCTGCTCTTTGAAATTACTGAGGTGATGTCTTACAGCCGTGATAAGTCCAAATTACCTTTCAAAAAGATTGGCCTGGTGCTGGTGGTAGCTGAGGAGGAGTTGGAATAAGTCCACGACCTCCTCTATTGCCAAATTGGTTTTGACTAAGAAGGCCTTGAATTTGTCGTTGTGCAGCCTGAAGAATAGAAAGAAAATTAGTTCTTGGTTTTCTCAGACACAGCTGGCAATGTACAGTTATAAGTTCTTAAAATGGACAACCTGGCTGAAGAAATGTGATTAAATGGTGCTCCAAGAGCCACTTACATATATCCTTGTAAGTTCATAAAGCAGGTTGCCTATTTTAACAACTTAACAAATATGTTTGTTTTTATGATAAAATTAATCATTATTATGAAAAAGCTTATTTGTAAAAGGTCTATCAGGTGAGAGTGATGACGTACTTTCCATTTTAAAACATATATATGTGTGTATGTGCAAAATATCTAATGGACAATTTTAAATGAAGTTTGATACAAACAGCAGTAGAACCTTTCTACAACTAATATTGCTTTGAAAAATTAATTCGGGTTATGTCTATAACTCAAAAAGCCAATAAATAAAATGCATTCTTAGAACTACTATTAACTCCAACTCAAATTTCAGTACCTACGAAAAGGTGTAATTTGATGTTTTGTGTCAAAATTGCCAAAAAATATAAATAAAGCACTTGATAAAGAAAGAAGTGTTACTATTTATTTTGCCTAATACTTCAGGATTTTCTATGCTGAAGTGAGATATTTCAATCTCCTCAAATTTTCTTGTACATTTAAAAATATATCCATAAACAGCAGTAATGTTTGACCATTTATGTCCCAGGTTAATTTAAGTAATAGAGCATAAAAGGAAACATTTTAATAGTACATTCATAGTTGCAAAACAGAAATAAAAAAAATTCACTTTGAAACAGTACAAGAATAAATTTCAGCTATTAATCCAAAATACAAAAGCATTATGTTTTATACCTAGTTTTGGGTTATTAACCCTTTCGATACATGTCACAGGTGAAAGGCCATGTCATCTCGTTTGTTGACTCACATTCAAAATTTTATTCAACTACTATTTCATGAATTTAGGTCAATAAGTTTGGTATCAAACTGAAGATTATAATTCAAATTTTAGTACTATACATTACTCAATTTGTTAATTTAAAAATAAATATTAAAAAACACAGATAAACATCGATTTTTGTGTGTTATGTGGTATATTGGATGCAGCACTGGTTCAAATTAGATGTTTGTGAAGTCAAAATACTAAGTCTATAGGTTCATATGAATTAGAAACTCAAATTACACATATTAACAAGCTAGCATATAAAATAAGAAATTCGTATTTTTTCTATTTGCTAAGATATTGCTCACATCAAACATAATGGCACCCCACTCACTTCATTCCATTTTTGGAAATGCTCCCTTATAAACACTTTCTTCTATATATATATATATAACATGAATAACCAATCAAAAGCTCAGAATGTCCCCCTAGTAGTTTTCTAAGTCTTTCTAATGTACCTAGCATCATTTCTTTCTTTTAAATCAACATTTCAATGAGGTAGGTTGTGCTCAAAATTTCATATTTTTTTTAGACCCAAATACAGCTTAGTTACTACGTTTGATAAATTATAGTAGAATTCTATGGTATTGATGGAGTAATTTATGATTTTTTTAGTTATTCAAAAGTATACTTTGTTTCATATCCTCCACGTGCAAAATTTTTAAAGGCTTAGCAACCTACATCAACCAGCAACTGAGTACAAAGGTCTTAACTAGAAGAGATTATTGGTTGCTTTACTTCTTTATTTACTGTTCTATGTTTTAGGAACTTTAAGAACTTATTACAAAATAGCAATAACCTACATACATATATAATGTATAATAATTGAAATGTGAGCCTCCACTAAACCTAACCCCAACAGGGTAATCACTGATACATGTGTGTGACCTGTGAAAGGCCTAGAGAACAGCTGTAGGGAAGATAAAAAATGAAAAACTGTTGAAAGAAACGGACAAATTCGGGAACCTGAGTTTAGTGGCAAACAGTGGCATCAGGCCTAGAACTCCAACAGGAATAAAAGGATCTAACCTCTGAGAATCCAAATACAGGTCTTCCAGGCAATGGAAAGCTAAAGCATGCTGATCTGACAAATTAGGAGGACAAGACATGGCAACACCCTCTCTCAATGGTTCAGCAAATCTCCTAGCATGCACAACAATGTCTGGTGAAGGTGGAAAGATAAGGTAATCACATGAATGACTTTCCCCAAAAAAAAGGAGAAGAAGAGTTGTAAGCTACAGGAGAAATACTTAATGTATTATAAACTTAATGAAATAGTTGCAAAAGTGGTGCAGGAGGCAGGATGTCTGTCCTTGGCTCGTGAGTAGCTTTATGTGCATGGGAAGGCACTGAAAAATTCTTACAAGTCCGTCCCTGATCCCCCTGAAGTCGAGCCTCTGAACCGACAGTAGAACAAACATTAGTCCACATTTACAATTCCACTTCTGTGTATGAGGGACTGGACATCCTCCTGGGGTAATGCTAGACTCCAGAGGTGGTGGAGTAAAAACATTAGGCAACTCTGTGTCAGAAACATTAATTTGTAAATTCGTATCCTAAAACATTTCTCTCTTATTTTTGAAAAGAAAGAAAACAAGCAATAAACTCAAGACCCAAGAAGACAGGTCTAAACAAAGAACAAAAGAAATCGTAGGTATAATGAAAGCTATGCAACACTGAAGAGAAACCTGCAGCCAGCACGTAAAACTGTTGTCATAATGTTCTGCTGTCCAGAAAAAAGAAATTGGGAGTCATAATGGGGAACTTGTATATGGATCTGAGATAGGGGCACACTGACGTAGGTGGAGAAAATCACAAGATTTAACTTGCTATTGGATATACAGTGGGGTATAAAGGTTGGATCAAGCAAGGTAAGATTAATAACAATGCTTAGGTGGGCAGAGAAGAGGGACTTTCATCAGGATAAAGCTATAGTATGAAGAGGGGGGGGGGGGTAAGGTATGTTTTGGAAAGCTATTCTGTGAGAACAGGTAAGATACAGTATCGGAAAGCAACCTTTAAATTAATAAAATAATTCCCTCTTTAAAAAAATTCAAAGTTAATAGTTTATTTTATTCATAATTTCAAATTAATTTCAGTTGTGTACTAAACCACAACATAAATCGAAGAGAAAGCTACAAGCATAATATATTCTAGTTTACGCTAATGTTGGCTGAAACAAGACATCCTCTAGATTACTACTATCAACTGCCTTTCAGTTCCTTTACCAGTACATAGGTATGATTACATCTGCATTCTTTTTCTGGCATAGCAGAAACAAAAACAAAAAATAAACTGAATGGGTTTAAAAGAAGCTTTTGTAAAATACAAGTATCTAAAAAGATTTGTATTGGTGTTATCATCCTCACAATTAATGGCACTCAACCCTATAACAATGACAACATTTTTTTGACACTTTCTGTGCATGTTACTGAGTTTCATTCAAAATGTAATTAAACCACTTTACTATTAATGTATTGTAATGAAATTATGTTTATCAAGTACAATATAATTCAAAGTTTTATATTATCTCGGATTTTATTCCTATATTTCAAAAGAAACCTCTAAAACGAAAATTAAATATTTCAGCTCGTTGTCACTTGATAACCTCGCGATTCAAAATACCCGAACTTTAGAGCCAACATACAATACATGTGTGTGTAATGTAAGAGTTTTCTTGCAGACATTTAAAGTACACATAGATAGCTTGTGTATGTGTAACTCGAATCAAATTCCAAGAACTGAGGCAAACGTTGTAAAAATCATTTCAGTTTAAGATAATCTATGTCCACTTCCAAAGTAGATGTGTTGCTAAGCAACAGTGTTAAGTTGAATGCCATGCTTATAATGAATAGAAAGGGCAGATTTACCATTAGAATGTCGCCAAATTGACAGTAATGTAAATATATATAACTGCTTACAAATGACGTGAAATAAAGCTTAGTCCATTGTTGATAACAGTGTCCCTAGCGCTTGGCTATTTTGTTTACGGCTTACACGTTAATTTGATAGACAGTCTTTTATATTTCAATTAATTACGTATTATTTGTATTTTCAATTTATTCTACGCTTTACCTCTATCAACAAGCATTCATAAAGTTAGCAAGTGTAACCACTATTTTGTCAGAGACTGAACTGTCTCTGCTGATGTTAACATTATATTGCCCATAGGCATCTGTTGATGGGTGTTGACATAAATAACCAAAGATAAAAAAAACAAATGAAAAATAAAATAGAAATAAACTACAAGTGAAAAATGTAAAGATGAGAAATTTTGCATATGACCAAAAGAAGATATTTTAAGATTATTCAATGAAGAGATAAAAGGTATGTATATATTTCCATTTCACTGCATTCTATGTTGATGATAACATAAACATTTACCTTAAAACTTTTGACATTCATTTAGGAGATTCTAGAGATTATGAAAGTGAACAATGAAAACTGTAAGATAAAAAATAGTATTTTTATATTTAACATGAAAATCACCTTGTAGGTGAACTATGTAGAGACCAAGTGCAAATAACTACATTATCCCTTCTATTACTGGCTGGGTGGAATCCACCCAGCTCGTAACCACAAAAGTATCCATAAGAGTAATTACATTATGATTTTGGATCATGTATAAATATTTTATAAAATCTTGTGGTTATTGGTAAATATTACAAAGCTTTCATACACAAAATATCAGGTTTTTAAATTAAGTATTAAAATATTTTAATTAAAAATTTTCTCATAAAATTTTGCCTTTCAGAATGTTGATTATGCAACATGCAAAGTAATTTTGATTTTAAGATTAAAAAATACTTTTATGCATTAGAACATTTTCAAATTTCACATGCAAAATCTTTATAACCTCCAGATAATTATCAAATTTGTTTTTAAAAAAACTATAATTTTGTCTGTTATTTTCAATACTGTATCTCTGTACGGGTTGGTTCGATTTGACCGACTTCGTAACCTATATATAAAATTACGAAATTTATAAATATTGCTTTACAAACCTTAAAACTTAATAAAAAAAAATTGATATTTTGCATATGAAAGCATTGTAATGTTCACTTTTAACTTGCTAATTAATTCAAAAGTTTTAGCATGAAAACTATAACAAGCATAAAATAGTTATGAGGTCAGTCCCAGGGACTAAGCCCGTGCTGAAAGAGTTAACATTACCCACCATCAATTTGAGGGTAAGTTAAACAGGACTGATCGATTAGTGGAATTTAACTCTCACTTTTGTAGTGCATGCTCAGGCAAAAATTACAGAGTGAATTTTCATGGCAATGGGATGAAAAACATGAACCCTAGATTTCTGCATCCAAGATTGGGCCAAATCGAGCAGAAGTTATAAGTTCTCCATGTATTTTTATTAAAACTCGAATACTGTACAAGGTCAAAATGTTGTATGCAAATCCGTGCACTGAATGTATTATTTTACTCTAGCATAAGAAAGCCCGAAATTATTTTGCACTAGCTAACATATAATTGTTGGAACCTTACCAGACCAAGGTATGAGATTAATTGCTCCTCCCAAAAAATGTTACACTTTTAAAATAAAATTACTTGCTGATGGTTGTTTAAGAAGCAGTGAGAACCAGACATACCTGTACAGCTGACAAATGGAAAAATAAATAAATATAAAAAAATTGATGCATAAAAGTATCACACACACAAACACACACACAAAAAAAAAAACTAGGGCCAAATTGTATGATTTCTTGGTATGTTACACGTGAACGTATACTTTTCATTAGGCTTAGTTGCCAAACCCCATTTTAAAGTGCATGCCAGTATTTTACTCTTTTGGCATTAGTCTATCAAATCAAATCCTCAATCATAATTGAGGATTAGTTATCATTCAAGAAATTAATTTTGATCAGCATAATTACACTTCCATTTTACAAGCTGTTTGTCAAAAAGTAGCATCTTCTGCCTTTTCAATGGCAAGAAGATTTTCTAAACATTCTTTGAATGATACAATGCAATTAAGCACTAATCTTGATCGTTAAACAAACTGTTTGTCTTAAATAAGTTTAAATTTGCCAACAGTTGATAATCTTAAAAAAATTTATATAAAATATAGATGCATATATTCTCAATTAATATGATTATAATTGGTAAAATATCTGATACACGAACTTGTGTAGGTACATGTATAAATATTTGCATTTCCAAATAACAATGTAAACTACACACATTATATATATATATACATGTGTATGAGAAAACAAGTCTTTCCTTCTTTGCCAAACTGTTCTTTATTGTGAGCAATAATTCTTGCATAGCACTCACATGAATGGTGCACTGATGCATTTCACTTTAGGCAGACACAGATTAACTAATGGTGACAGTATCACATGTCAGTATTCCTTTTGATTAACAATGATTGTCAGATACATATAAATTTTCTTCTTTTCTGGGCAACAAATACAAATTTTGGAACTCTGCCTTAAGCTTTCTAAATTACATTTAAATATATATAAAAGATATTCCAAAAATTTATCATAAATTAATAGTAGCTATGGTAACACAAATACAGAAACTCAAAATTGTTAATTGAACCAAAATACTAGATGAAATTTTTCTGTACAAGTGACTGAAGGAGTCAATATACTCAAGTAAAAAAAAAAAAAATTAAAGTATTCTTCCTTTTTTTATATATACATAAATCCATAAAACTGAAGTTACGTAATTAATATTAATTTTATTAAAAGAAATACATTTATCTACCTAAGAATATGAGCCAAACATTTAAAGATTGCAAAAATATTTCATACATTAGTTCGATTTTCGATACCTCACTACTATAAAGGCTTGGTTTGGTATGATATTTCATTGGTGGTAGTGTCCAGGGTCACTGATGAGGAGTTGAATTCCCCCGAAACTAGTCTGGCTCACAGACATACACCCCAATGAAAGAATAGACCATTCCAAGCTTTTACTTGTTGTTAAACAAATGTTTAAACAACTCTATTTATTCAATTATGTAAAAGCTGCCCAGCATCGGCTAACAATACGAAGAATTAAATTGTGGCGGAATGCTACAAGTTCTTCAAATACCTATAAAATGATCGGTTTCTTTTT